TTGAATTATACCAATAAAGTGAACTACTTCATCTGGCTGCTCAAAATATTTGAAACATTTACAAATTTGGCTAATGTTTTATGCACTTTAGTTTCGTTTTACATGAGTTTCTTTTAACACGAGCTTTAACCTATGGTCCTTTTCCTTCTGTGCCGTTCTTTGATTGAAAGCAGAGACAGGATTCTCTTTATCATGCAGACATTCAGACAGGTATGTTACGTAGCACCCTAGACTATGGGCAATTGAACGCTGTGCTAAGTTAGAATAAGAAGCATGTCCCACAGTCTGCTGTTGTAGGAGGCGGCTACGGAGAGCACATTAGTAGCAAAGACCAAGTGTCCAGGGAAGGTGATCTAGACATATGACCGTCACCTGCTCATATATACGTGTATACAATGTCATGTGTCCAGCATATGACCATTTCCTACGTTGGAGCTGCAATCCTTGGTTGTTTTGAATTACTCTTTATGTAATTCTTTTTATGTAACGCAATGTCTTAAAATCAAAAGAAAATAGATTTTTTTCTGAGTGGACATTTTGAGACACTTTTAATATCTTATGTTAAATTAAATTGACTATCTGAGTTCTAAAATAGGCTATTTCACTCTTCATTTTGCAACAGCGTGGTTTAGTGAAAAATGCATTGGGTCTCAGCGGGCGTGTACCAGTGGAGTTTGTGAAGAAAAGAACTATTTATGGCCTCAACTGTTTTTTTTTTTTGTGTGAGGAAGATTGGCCCTGAGCTAACATCTGCCAATCCTCCTCTTTTTGCTGAGGAAGACTGGCCCTGGGCTAACATCTATGCCCATCTTCCTCCACTTTATATGGGAGGCCACCACAGCATGGCTTCCCAAGCGGTGCGTCGGTGCACACCCGGGATCTGAACCGGCGAACCCCGGGCCACCACAGCAGAGCTTGTGCACTTAACCGCTAGCCCCACCGGGCTGGCCCCATATGGTCTCAACTTTTAATTATTGAAAGCAAATGTTGAATCTTGAACGTAATTTTAATCTAGCGCATTCCCAGCTCTCTCTCTAGTTTCTAACCAATGTGTTCATAGATAATATACATTTTAAAATTAATTACATATATTGTTTCAAGGCTTCTTGAATTATCCTTCTTACTATAAAATTGTTTGCTCCACACAATAAGCATATGCGACACACATAGTTATTATCCCACTTGATATCAAGTCTCAGAGAAGCTTGTATCTTGATCAAAGATACACAACCTATGGGTAGAAAAGCCAGAAAGAGTGCTGTGTTCTCCTTCTTTATCATATCATTGGCCTTGTATAAAATTTAAGGCTTTAAAAATAAAATTGCTATCCGTTTTGGCCTGGAGGATTATTAACACATGGTCATTTACAGGTTGTTTAAAGAGAGTAGTAAAAATCTCCCTGTGTTTTCATCCTGGAAAGTTAGTATACTTTATAAATAAATGAATAATCTTTTAATGTGCAAAAAAGGCCAGAGTTTCCTCTCCACATCTCCTCAGTCCTCGCACCCTTCTACTTAAAAACAGAACAGATGCTTCTCGGTTAAATTTGAAGTAACATTTATTTATATATATTTTATGGGAAAGTAATTAAAACTACTTTATAGCCCTGCAGGGGAATGGATGGGTGGGAAATGTGATGAGTCCCAGACAATGATGGGTGTTCCTGCATGTCTTAGAACAAAGCGGAGGAAATGCGTGTGAAATATTTGGCCTCTAACCTGAAGTGTAATCACATTCGCACTTAGTTGAATATTCGAGAATAAAGGAATCTGAATTAAAGATTTATCACTGATTACGCTTATAAATTTTGGGTTTATTTGTCTTCTGAAATCTAAGTCTTATCCTTAATAGTTTAAATGCTGAGTAGAAAAGGCAGAACATAGTGAGCAACACCCAAAAGCAGTCCGTCGGGATGTGCATTTAGTCCTAAGAGTTCATCATTCAGGGAAAGGTGCCAACCGTTCACAGATGCAGCTGGAATTGTTCTTTCTGGTACATGAGGGCACTGAAACAAAAATGGAAGAAAAAGAAACTTGTTTAACTTTGGGTTAGATAATAAGGCTCAGAGGAGCCGGAGGAGTTGAACTTTTGTGCAAGTTGGCGTGGGAAATAACATTAACCAGCCACGTGCCAGATGCTTTTACTTGTCACTGCCCTTGGTCCCCACAAAAACCAAACCTTGCTAATATTTTCCATTATTCCCTTCTCTCCTCCCCCCATAGAGGAACTAAAACTTATCAAGTTAAGTAACTTACTTGAAGTAATGCTGCAGCAAATAATAATTTAAATTTAAACCCAGTTAGGTTTGATTCCATGTTCTGTGTTCTTTCCACATCAGTAAACTATAAAAATATAGTTTTCCTTTAAAAATATGATTCCCTTTCGAGGGACTAGAGAAACTATCACCTTGATATACTCTCTATACTCGGGTGTTTCCCTCTCAAAGAAGGCTCAAATTTTGGACAGGAAATCAAGAAATTTCTGAGGAGCCTTTTCCTTGAATCTTTTGCCACTTAAAAAACATATGTGTATATATAAACTTCCTTAGCATGGCCATCACTAGAAATCTAGTCATGCAGTTGTCTGCAGACTTTCTGGGCTGGGTAATGGTGCCCATCCCCATCCGCTGGCTCGAGTTTAAAATGATCGTCACTCAGATAACTGTTAACCCTTTTGCTAAGCTAGTGTAGTCTCCGAAGCCTAAGAAACAGTTTACCTCAGTTGGATACCTGAGTGAATCCATTATTTTATTGGATTTTAGAATTTTATCAATTGAAAATGCACCGTCAGTCTAATCACAGATTTTAAGGGAGGGAGCGATGGCAGACACTACTAAAAATTTAATAATATATGAATTTTAGTCTGAGTCCTGGTGTCTTAAATGTTAAAATGTGCTTTTTAAATTGAGGAAATATAGCACCTCAATAACCTTAGCCTTTCCCCACTTACATCTTTTACCTTTATTTCCTACCTAGAACTCCTGTCACTGCATCCACTCATCTGCCAGGATCTCATCTTCCTTTCTTTTCAGCCACTGAAGCATGACTATATTATTCCCTCAAAACTGCTGATTCCTGCTGAATTGTGTTAGCATCTCTCAAGTGTAAAGCCCATTAAGGGAAAATTTTGCGGAGAAGCAGTAACCGTGTCGCTTTCCATTTAGATTTCCTGTGGATGATGAAAAAATGAGGTTTCATGGATTAGGACTTTTTGAGGACTTGCTTAGGACTGTATGACGTGACAGTGCATGAGACAAAAAGATGAGAAGCCTCAGTATATTCACAAGTGAAGTTTCATGTAGGGAAACTTGTAGAATTAATATTATGTTTTAAAATGATGGAGAAGGTCAGAGGGCAGTTGTGTCTTTTATGAGTTTTGACTTGAGTATGAATGATTTTACTGTGTTTCTTTTCCTCATTCTGAGAATGAGATCTTACACTAAGTTGACTATTAGCATTTCCTTCAGTTTTCCCATCAGTTTCTCACTATGTCATCAGAGGAATGTAGAAATACTGGATTATTAGCTAATGAATTCAAAATCAGAGACCTTTGGGTTCACTGTAAGATTTTCTTGAAGTGCTAGACTCTGCACAAATCTATAGAGGGTAATTCCATACATGCATTTGCTATCTTTATTTGGGTTTTATGCATTTGTTACATTATTTATAGCCATGTTACCACTAGTGAAAATCATTTGTTAATCCCTTTTAATTAATTTTTGAAATATAGTCAGAGTTAGTTAGGCTATGCTTTTACTACTTTGAAACATTAAACAGTTTGTGATATGTTTGCCTTATATGGTCCAAGGAGTAAAAAGATTTGTCTGTGAATCTTAATCAAATTCTTAGATTTATATTTGAGAACTAATTTTTTTTGAAATTGAGGTAGTGGTGTATTATTAGGGTAGAAGTATCATCTTCTACTTGGTATGATATTTGTTGGTGAATCTGGGCTCTGTTCCCATGTCCAAGTAGAAATGCTAAATTATCTTGATTAGATTTCTTATTTTTGCTTCAATTTCTCTCTTGTCTTTCCTGATTCTTTCTTGGGATTTTGCCGGAGTCAACTAGAAAATGTCTCATGTACTTTAAGTTGAGAAAAAAGACATCATAAAATGCCTCAGTTATCAAAATAAATCTAACCAATTTGTGATTATCCGCTTTGTGATTTTTCTCCCAGAAATCTTTAATCCCACAAGAGCTTCACTGGCAACTTGGCACAAATCTGATCAGGACAAATTCACCTCATTTCTAGCTGATATTTACGTGGGTAGTGCAGAATGGTTTTGATTAACCTATGCCAAACTAAGTAATAAAACACACCGACTCCAAAATTCAATACATTTCCCAGGCGCAGAAATACATTTGAGGACAAATCTCCAGTTTTCGATTATCCATTCTCCTTCTTCCTTGTGTGAGCCTGGGGAGTTTGCATATTACGGATGGATTTTTAATGATGCGTCTGTGCTAATCTCAACACCATAATAGAAGAATTGTCCTTTGATTATAGCACTTTAAAGAGTTATAACCGGAAATGCACCTGTCATTTCTATACTAAGTCCATCAGGTTAGTGATTAGATTTAACCTTTGTCAAGCGTCTTTAGATAAATGGGCAGACATGAGCATTTATCGATATATAACTAGGATGTGGCAGTAACATGAGTGATATGCCTATTTTTCTGGTATTAAGCAGATTTTTCCAATTCATTCAGCTGGGCCGTGAAAGACAGACTCACAGCTTCTCTTTGACCTTTGGGCCACATTCATGGGATTGTGGAGCAAGTGAGGGCTTTCATGCCTGACACCGGCTCCGTTAAACTTCCCGGGGCGCGGTCTTTGTAGTGGGCAACTGGATGCATTGAAGGTAGAGCCGCTCCACCCTCTGCCTGCTGGGTGGTGAGCACCATTCTGGAGATGGTCACTGGTGTCTGAGAGGGTCACGCATCTTTTCACGGCTGGCTCGCGGCAATTTATATTCTCTCTTTTGTCTTTCTTCACAGCTGTTGTGAACTTGGACAATTCTGTGGTTGACTTGGAGACCCTTCAAGCTCTCTATGAGAATGTGAGTAATAGAAGGAATTTTATATGTGAATATGTAACACACACACAAGACTTAATGTGCACATCTAGACTCATTGCTTTAATGTCCTCTGAGGAAATTTGATCTGGGTGCACTGAATTTATGTAAGTATAGATTTGTTAAGATACTTTCTAGGAACATATCGGACAAATGTGTGATCTCATAGTTTTAAGATTGTGATTCAAAACATGTTGCATGTGAAGTCATCCACATTCCCTCTTTTGAAATATAGTCAATACTTACGTGGAGGTTAATGGGAGCTGAGCATTGTTCTATACACGAACTCATTTAATCTTTATGTGGAAACTATAGGTAGGTACTATTATTATCCCCACTTACATAGGAGGAAACTTAGACATCGAGAGGTTAAATGACTTGCTCAAGGTCGCACAGCTAGTGTTGTGGTGTAGCTGGGGTTTAATTCATTCTGGCTCCATTTCTCTAAACTGCCATAATTTACTTCACTAAGTGGCAGGACATTCAGGCCTTCTTCTAGTATCATTTTTTCTTAAGAAGTTGGCAGGAAAAGGGAATAAGGTACCAGAGGAGAATGGTGTGGTGTGGTCCATGCCTTTGGGGAGTGCAGTCTGTGCGGTGATGTGTGGAATGGTTTCAGCTGGGGCATGGCATTAACCACCATTGATTCACACAGTAAGAAAACAATTCTCTTTTCAGTGCTTTTGATGATGTCTAGGAGGAAACCTCACTGTGGCCCTGTTTTGTTTCTGATATGTTTGGGTTCTTTTTTCATTGTGTTTCTGCTCTGGCTTTTGATCTGCCTGGTATTTAAACCTCTGTGCTCTTTGGGCTGTGGCCTTAGTTGGTCTTTGACTTTTCTTGCCAAATCAAGGAATTCCTGGCTCTGGGAGACATAAGTGGTGGACAGGATACAGACTCTCTTCCCTGACCACTCTCTTGAGGAAAGTGGATTCTAGCTGCTTGTCCACTCTTGAAGGTGGTACTTTTTAAACATACGTATGTGTTCTATGTCCTGTGAGGTTGAGTCCTTCGTAAGAGAGAATATTGCTCATGGAGCATCACAGAGAATCTATCCATTAGCGTAGATTGGTACCTGGTCAGGGCAGTGAGCATAGGCGCTCAGTAATACTGAGTCGTTAATGAGGACTGAGAGGGAAGGTTTGAATGTTTGTTATGTGGTTGTCTCTACAGGATGAAAAACTGGAAAAAATAAATCATGTATTTAGTATATTAGTGTCCCAGTGAAGTAGATATTTAAATCAGAACCATTTGGAAGTACAGAGAGTTTTCATTTCTCTTGAATCTTTCATACTGACCCTTTCCCAACCAGAAGAGCCATATGGGAGAAATGAGGAAATATCAGTGAAAGTGATTTTTTTCAACAGATCATAATGATGGTAAGATATGGTGTATGTGTAACTGTTTATCTTGTGCATACATTACGTATACATATATACATATGTTTATGTATGTACATAATATATATGTGTCTGTATGTGTGTATATTATATGAAGACACATGAAGGTCTTATTTTAACCTGGTATATCCATGTGCAGAAACACATACAGAAAAAATACAGAACATCAGGGACAGCTGTATTTATGAGGAAAGTTTCAGTGATTTAGAGTATTTTATTTGTAGGTTTTTAGCCTTTCAAAGTAAATTAATTTCACAAAGTATAAGTTTCTGACTCCAGACAAACTAGATAGCTACCCGGAATTTCTTATTGTCATACTCCGCGAGAGTGGAGCAAGTACTAGCCGGCCCTGGTTCAATTTGTGGTTTTCTTTATGTTGTTGATGTTGTTAAACTTGATGGTTCAGACTTTGTGTCAGGAGAACAATTGCTTGTTTGGTGGGGGTGGTTGACAGTAATATTAGTTCAGGTGGTTATAGTCGAGATTTTTGATAGCCATCTTCTGTAGAGGAACTTAAAGAATCCACTATGAATAATAGATAACTGTGTATACCTTATATACAAAAAGAACTCATGCTAATTCCTGATTCACATCCATGAAAGTACAAGTCCAAAGAAGGCAGAAACATTTGTTTTATCCATGGCAATATCCCCAGCACCTAGAGTTCAGTAGTAATGGGCACCTAGGAGGTATTCAGTAAGTGGTAAGTGAATAGTTATGTGAATTAATGAATCTACTGATAGATGTTGTTTCAAGACCTCTTTTGGACTTTCTGTTATGCAGTTTTCAGGTACGTTTTGCCTGTTCAGACTGATTGGTACCCATTGTGAATAAGGATCTATAATGAACATCTATTTGTGCTATTTTTACTTCTGTCAACTTAAATAGAAAATTTGCCAGTTATTTTATCTCAAAACGAGTTTATTTGGGAAGAGCCAAAAGAATTACAATTTGGGGTGTGCATGCCATGGTAAACCAATGGCAAATCCAAAAAAGAAAGGAGAGGAACTGCTTTTATAGAGAAAAAGAGGGAGTAGGGAGAGCTGTTCTAAATGATTAAGTCCACTGGGGGAAAGGAAGAGTTCAGGGTGGCAACAGATTCTCATTGGCTGAGCTGTATCATTTCTCAATGGCTGGGCTGTGGCATTTCTTTTTTTTTGTGAGGAAGATCAGCCCTGAGCTAACATCTGTGCTAATCCTCCTCTTTTTTTGCTGAGGAAGACTGGCTCTGAGCTAACATCTATTGCCAATCCTCCTCCTTTCCCCACCCCCGCCCAAAGCCCCAGTAGATAGTTGCAAGTCATAGTTGCACATCCTTCTAGTTGCTGTATGTGGGATGCGGCCTCAGCATGGCCTGAGAAGCAGTGTGTCGGTGCACGCCCAGGATCCGAACCCGGGCCGCCAGTAGCACACTTAACCGCTAAGCCACGGGCCAGCCCCTGGCATTTCCCATTGGCTGGGCTGTTGCTAGGTGGGCAGAGAAATCTTCCTTTAGTATAAAGTAGTTTACTTCCTGTCCAAGACGCAAGCATCCATCTCTTCCTGTTTGGTGTAACGGATGATGTGTGATAGGGCATGAGAGCTCCCCCTACAGGCCTTCCCGACTCCAATTTAGTTAAGGTTCCTTTAGTTAATTTCCACACTTCTTTGTAATAACTTAAGAGGATTTCATGTGCAAAATGATTAATGTTCCTTTCCAGTGGGATCTGCTATCTATAAAAAGTAATGATAAGCGTAATGGTTGGAACTCTGTAAAGGGTAAATGGGAGTTTAAAATGTTTACGTATTTTAAGAATTCTAGGTCAGACTCCTGGGGACCTATTTGCGTATAAGGCTCTTCAGTTTTCTAGGGATAAATGTGGTGGCAAAATCTGTGATTTTTTGGGTGATATATAATAGTAGTAGATGAAGTCTTCCCCAGTGAGTCGATGAATATGCCTCTAACAAAGCAAGGAGCTCCTCCTAAATTAAGAGAGAACTGAAATACATATTTCCTAATGCATTTGTTTACATTTCTTCATTCCAGTTGTTTAAGTTCCTAAAAGAGCTGTGATCGTTTAAAGATCAGGGTATCTGAGTTTTTAGAGATAAATAATTTAATGTTTATTATTCACCAAGCACTGTTCTCAGTGCTTTGTCTGTATTAGTTCATTTAGTCCTCTAAGCGCTTTACTTGTGATTTATGAAAAGTACTATTGTTATCTAACCCTTTGGAGAAAAGAGGAAACTGAGACATATGTTCTCACAACTCAGAGCTAGGTTGACACCTGGTCGCCTCCTCTAAGGACTGTGCTGTTCAGCACAGAGTTTCCTGACTCACGGTGATAGCTGAGCAGAGCCCTCCAGGAGGAGCTGGGACAGCACTGTGGACGGGAAGAACGTTGGATAAAAAAGTCAGAAGAACTTTGTTCGGGTTCCAGCACCACAATTTAATAGATACATGCCTTCAAGAAGTTGTTTGCTCTTCTTCAGTTTCAATTTCCTCCTATCTAAATAGGGTTTCTAATAATTCATAATAACAACATCAACTTTTTGTCACCATCAAATGGATGTACAAAGAGTTTTCTAGACCATTCAATACTATTACGCTTTTCTGTTTTTGATAAAAATAAATGTGGGGGCCGGCCCGGTGGCTTAGCGGTTGAGTGCGCGCGCTCCGCCACTGGCGGCCCAGGTTGGATCCCGGGCACGCACCGACGCACCGCTTCTCCGGCCATGCTGAGGCCGCGTCCCACATACAGCAACTAGAAGGATGTGCAGCTATGACATACAACTGTCTACTGGGGCTTTGGGGAAAAAAAAAAAAAGGAGGAGGATTGGCAATAGATGTTAGCTCAGAGCCGGTCTTCCTCAGCAAAAAGAGGAGGATTAGCGTGGATGTTAGCTCAGGGCTGATCTCCCTCACAAAAGAAAAAAAAAAAATGTGGGCATAGAACTTAAAATAACTATGATTGTCAAACTGCAAATGATTGTCTCTAAGACTGGTAGGATTGAGGGTAACTTACAGATAAGCACACACTTAACGGTAATACAACCATCGACATCATGAAATGAACATTGATCTGTTACTATCATCTAATCCTCAGATCCCAGTCAAGTTTTGCCAGTTGTTCCAATAATGTCCTTTATATTTAGGACATCTTTGAAACCTTGTAGTGCTTGCTTTCTTCCTTTCCTTGGCACTTGCCTCTTTTTGCTTTGTATTATCATTATGTGTGCATGTCTTATCTTTCAACTTAACTCTAAATTTCTTTCTTTTTTTTTTTTTTTTTTTATTGCAGTAGCATTGGTTTATAACATTGTATAAATTTCAGATGTACATCATTATACTTCTATTTCTGCATAGATTACATCATGTTCACCACCCAAATACTAATTACAACCCCTCACCACACACATGTACCGAATTATCCCTTTTGCCCTCCTCCCTCCCCGCTTCCCCTCTGGTAACCACCAATCCAATCTCTGTCCCTATGTGTTTGTTTGTTGTTATTATCTACTACTTAATGAGGGAGATCATACGGTATTTGACCTTCTCCCGCTGACTTATTTCACTTTGCATAATACCCTCAATGTCCATCCATG